ACTTTAGCTACTGGGGGTTGTGCACAATGCTAGCCAATATTAAAAAAAATCTCATTAATGAGTTGGCTTAAAAACACTGGTTGATGATAGTTACATCGATTATGATAGGATTATGTGTCACACAGGGAGACAATATTTTTACGCTACGTTAAGCTTCTGGACAGAGCCTTCAATAATATCAGTTGCTAATAGCATCACGCCAATTTAAAAAGAAGCATTTAATTTTTCACATGCATGTTTAAAATTTATGATACAGACCAATTTCTTTCAAGTTATTTATGATGAGATGTCCGCTGACACGGGAAACGAGATCTTTCAGATTTACCCTTTGAGAATGTGAATCCCTGCGATTGCAAAGTCCACACAGTCGAGCAATATATGCTTGACGGTGAACCTTTCATCACAAGGGATAAACTTAGGAGGTTCATTCTCGTTCATATGACCAGTTGTTGGTTGTAGGCACCCTGGCTGTAGTATAAGGAAGCATTTAGTCAACCATAAGGGCTCGTTTTGCATCCCATGTAAACAGTTGCCCAAATTGCTCATGATTGTGTCCGAAAATGCTTTGCCGGTGGCGATTCTGTCACGTACAATATATCACTATTCACCTGTACAGAATATTACTGGCTCTGATTTCTACCTCTCAATAAGTCTTATAATGACCAAAGCAGCTTACATACTTGGTATATTACACCTTTGAAAATTGAAAAGAAAGTCAAAGGGAATCCACCTTAAATTGGGATCGATGGCATGCATCAACTACGAGTCTGCGAGCCTGACTACCCGATCCCGTTAGTCACCTCTTACGACAAGCATAGTCGCCTTTTACAGCAAGCATGGGTTGCTGAAGACCTATTCTACCCCGGATCTTCATGGGGGACAAGCATGGGTTGCTGAAGACCTATTCTACCCCGGATTGCCAGGGGTCCAGACTCCGACTCCATATGAGCAGCATTTAATTACATAAGGGATTCATGACAGTCAGTGGAAGATCAACCCAGCGATATTGACTACTGCGACATTGCTGAGTCTTCAGTCTTTAAACAATTGACACGAGCGCTTAATATTCAAAATATGTACAAGCGGATCGATTATTCCATCTTCGCGAGGCAAGGGAGTTACCTGACTTTAAAAGTTAAGTTTTCACCCTTGCCGAACTAGGCTGGAATTATGCAGACATAGTTTGGCATGACTAACGACTCTATACATAGTCTAATCAAAATCCATAAACGATATCGACATCCGGCTCATAAACAAGATCGCATGTGCCGTGCCGAATTCGTTCGATAGCAGGATTTGCAGAGTTCCGTCAACTGGGTGTCGACACATATCTTTTGATGTTTTGATGTTTTTACTCAAGGTGCTGAAGTGATATGAGTACTTCGTGAGGTAAAACCCGTTTAAATACAATAAAGAATTTCATTATCGGTGAGATCGTCTTGACTTGACCGTTTGATGCATATGCAAGTGAAATGAGAGGTGGAATCTGACGCGGGAGTTAGTTATTCGTGACCATTTTACAAAGGGGGTGAAATATTTTAAGTTTGAACGGGTGATTTGGTCATTTCAAAACAACGTGAAGCGTTATTTCATTCAAAATATATATTGGGCGATATATCCAAATGTGATGTAACAATTCCAAGCCCGTTTGGGATGTTATGTTTGGTTTAAGTCAGTGCTTGATTGAAAGAATGCACAGTCTCCAAAAAAAAGGAAACAAATTTGCAATTAACCCAGCTGTCATTCAAAGCAAAGTGGCCCTACATAAAGAATTTGGAATTGCTGCCATTGACAAGGCCTCAAATGTCATAACCATTACATATAAGCATCACTTCATTAATTGTTTGATCAAAAACTTGGTATAAGTAACATATCAAATAATGCCACAGTAGACGTAATGGCAATTGACTGGGTTATTGAACATTGTATTACACAATTTTATGATATACTAATATGCCGATTCATATCATATAACCACATGAACCATTCCATTTCTTCGTGCACCTGCCTCGTGTAGCAGGTTGATATTTGAATTAATTGTCTGAGTTGTCTCGAATATCTGATCAGTCAACGGCTGTTACAATATACAAACCTTATTTTAAGTTAAGCTTTAATTAATGCCACACATAAGCAATAAAGCGAGGCTGGAATCCAAACACAGTCAGTGCATTATACTTGCACGTCCAAAGATGATTGAAAAGACATTTGAGGGACGTTATCATTTGTGTGTAAGCAAATATAACTATTTGTTTGTGAATAATTCCTCATTGATTGGTATAAAATGTTTGTAAATGTACCAATGCGGAGATACACATTTTAAAGAACACATCATCATGTAAAGCTGCACATTTTAAAACTAGAACACGAGATATACACACATACATGGTTTGCACGTGCTTAATATAGGTGCATGTTAGACTAAGTATATATTTCAATGACCCAAATATAGGCGGAAGAACGCATTTCTAAACTGTTTTGTGCCATTTGTTGTGTTGTGTGCCACTATCGCGCCGCCAATGCGCCACTATAGACACTACTGCGCGGCTAACGCGAAGCATCGCACCTTTTGCTCTGTACTTTCATGGCTCTGTCGCGAACCTATTTTACGATACAGGGAAATGAACTAATGAAATTTGTCCAGGCGTGGCATTTGGGGAATATTTACCAAGAATGTTGTATGTTGAAGGTAACCATGACCTTTAAATAACATTATTAAATAATTCTAAATCTTATGTTAAATACAGTCTGTCCGGGTTGAGAGGCACAAGGTTTGTTGTCTCGTCACTCTAGATGGGACTGGAGATGGAATTAGCATCAGGATTAATTAAGCTTCCGGTTGTGATGTGTTACTAAGTGCACGTCATCGTTTTGCCGTAATGAGATCATATTGCGAGTCTTGTTACTCATAAAAATTACTTCCTAGAACTGTTTACTAAGCTCTTGAATCTGTTTCCGAAAAAACAGAATTTCCTGAATCAGTTGTTCGAGGAATACGCCGAGAACCTTGTCATATGACAGTTTTCTTTCGTGCGATGTTGCTATGGAAAGAAGATGTAGACCCAAACAAAGGTAACATGATTTTATTACATTCAGAGTTTTCTGTTTATATTTCGGTGCAGCATGAGCCGTATACTGGGTATCTGGTGTATGATGTGTTTGAGTACATGTATGTGTCCTTGTATCCCGACTACTGGGTATCTGGTGTATGATGTGTTTGAGTACATGTATGTGTCCTTGTATCCCGACTACTGGGTATCTGGTGTATGATGTGTTTGAGTACATGTATGTGTCCTTGTATCCCGACTACTGGGTATCTGGTGTATGATGTGTTTGAGTACATGTATGTGTCATTGTATCCCGACTACTGGGTATCTGGTGTATGATGTGTTTGAGTACATGTATGTGTCCTTGTATCCCGACTACTGGGTATCTGGTGTATGATGTGTTTGAGTACATGTATGTGTCCTTGTATCCCGACTACTGGGTATCTGGTGTATGATGTGTTTGAGTACATGTATGTGTCCTTGTATCCCGACTACTGGGTATCTGGTGTATGATGTGTTTGAGTACATGTATGTGTCCTTGTATCCCGACTACTGAATATCTGGTGTATGATGTGTTTGAGTACATGTATGTGTCCTTGTATCCCGACTACTGGGTATCTGGTGTATGATGTGTTTGAGTACATGTATGTGTCCTTGTATCCCGACTACTGGGTATCTGGTGTATGATGTGTTTGAGTACATGTATGTGTCCTTGTATCCCGACTACTGGGTATCTGGTGTATGATGTGTTTGAGTACATGTATGTGTCCTTGTATCCCGACTACTGAATATCTGGTGTATGATGTGTTTGAGTACATGTATGTGTCCTTGTATCCCGACTACTGGGTATCTGGTGTATGATGTGTTTGAGTACATGTATGTGTCCTTGTATCCCGACTACTGGGTATCTGGTGTATGATGTGTTTGAGTACATGTATGTGTCCTTGTATCCCGACTACTGGACCGTTGTTCATTCTATCAACCACCGGTTTGTCTTGCCCAGACTAGATGTCGCTGTGATATAAATGAAATGAGATGACTGCGGTGTAAAACACCGATCTAACCCTCAATATGGGTGTGAGTGAGAAAGTTTTACGCATCTAATCTTTTAGCAATATACCAGCTGCTGCGACACCAGCTTTACACATTGTGCCCATGTGGCGAAATGGAGAACCCGGGTCTTCAGCATGACGAGCGAACACCTTAACCACGCCACCACCCCTCCCCCTCCGCCCTCCATATGTATATTTGACAATGAAATATTTCACCTGTAAACATATATCAATAAAAACGACACTTCTCTATTATGAAAAGCTGTTTGTTCAGAAACTCCCCGCACTGTATCTGGCCCTCGTTGAAGTGATAACAAACGTCCACAAAACTCGAATTTTAAGCCACATGGCTGCTATAGGCTATATCTTATATATTTGCATTGTAAAAGCGCAAAGGTATATATATTCAAATATCATGATACATAATTTAATTAATTTCAAAATTCAAAATGTTTTTAGTGTTGTTAAAAATTGTTGCTAAAACAACACCGCTGTAAACACTCAGTAAACGTGGTGCACGCGAACCGCGGTATGTCTCCGTCAACACAAATCTAACGCGCGCACACTTGGGTATTAATTTCAGTAAACACATCTAATGCAGGCCCCTCGCTGTATATATAAGTAAGCACAGATCTGACTCACGTACACCTTTACTTAGTAAGCACAGATTTGACTCACGTACACCCTTACCTAGTAAACACACATCTTATTCACGTGCACCCTCACTCAGTAAACACAGATCTGATTTACGTGTTTACGGTACCAGGATACGCTGATCGTTGGTTCGAATCTAAGATGATCTACCAGAACCATGATAACGATGCTCTACCTTGATTGATGACAGAACCGTTCTTTCGTGTGACTTTCATCGTTGCTTGCTTAATAATAACAAAACATTTTCAGGTACAAACTCATACTTTATTCAATTCCGCCGTATTATATGCGACACAATAAAATAGCTGTTGAACATATTAGATACACGGGTCGGTACATCGTGTTTATGATACTGCATACTGAATGAAAATGTACACTACAATTTGTAACATAAGATTGCTTCCCTAGAAAACAACGTAATGTTAATGTAAGTTCTTCTCTCCGTAATACTCCAAACTGTTACATTTGGACAAATTATAAGGTTCTTTTTGAAACAAGTCCAAATAAAATCGATTCTATTTTTGTATCATACATCACTTGTACCACATGTATATGGACGTTTCGATTCAAACATTCAAAACCAGTGATAGTGAACAAAATGAAAACCTATTATCGCTTGTGATCGATGATGAAAATTGATATTGGATTGCTGTTCTGAACCAACTAAAGAAAAAAATAATGTGAAAAAAATATAAATCCATAATTTAACCGAAAGATAATGCTCTTATAATAATCATATTCTACATTATCAAACTAATATTAATTCTTTCATGTTTCCAATAAGATGTAAATTGAATTTAGGGGGTCGAACACGGTATTGGTGATTTACAGGAATACACTACACAAAACAACATTCATGGTCAAGTCAAACGCGATTGCCTCCCTTTTATGTCTTCAGCGTAAAGAGGGCGGATATATAAGACGAGAGTTATATTACTGATATTACGCCATACCAAGCGTGACAATCATAGCATACATAAACCTATTATCACCTGTGTATGGTAATAGAAAAATGGTATCGGGTTTGTCGCAAACCAACACTTCAGAAAACTATGAAAAACATATCAATAAGTACTTTAACCGAAAGATAAATGGTCTTAAAATAATCGTATTCTACATTGTCAATATAATATTAATTCTTACATGTTTTCAATAATTTGTAAATTGAATTTAGTGGATCGAACACAGGATTGATGATTATACACGAATACACAACACAACATTCATGATCAAATCAAATACGATTGTCTCCCTTTTATGTCTTCAGCGTGAACAGGGCGAACATCTGCGACGCTAGTTATATTACACCATAACAAGCGTTACATACAGGGAATGCATTTGTACCACCAGGGGGCATATTGAGCAGGTCACGTGGTCACATCCGTCCATAGTAATGCGCTGCTAATTTATTTATTCACGTTGAACAGATGTCTTTTATTTCAGCCCTGAGTTGTTTCACGTCACTAACAATGAACTGTTTTTTTCTGATCGATTTGGTTTCAGTATATATGCTATTGATGTAAATGACAAGAACATTGTCGGAACCTATTTTCATTATTTTCATTTTTGATTTCATGAAAGATTAGACATAAATATAAAAAAGGTCAACGTGATATAAATATGAACTTTTGATATCGCTCATAAAATGTATTGCACTCAGGAGATGTATCTTTTGCACATTCACTGACAGTAGCCATGGCAACAATTGCATATGAAGCGTACACCTATACCGCAATGCGCATGCGCATTGCGTATGTTTTAAACTGACGTCAGGTACCCATGATACCATGTCCAAAATGGTGACCGGCAAGGGTTTCGTGGTCGCATCAGACACGTTTAAACTTCTGAACCATGGACTTTCCTTTGCTTTCCGATGTCTGAAAAGAAGTAATTGAGTATTGAAACAATAACAGTAAATTCATCCTGTTTTATACGTATAGTTAGTGTATAACCAACTATGGACCCATACTTGGTTATACACCACTCATATAATCTATCTCTCAACAATGAAGGACTAAGTGGATTGTTAACAGCACATGCAGCCATATTCATGCTATGTATCAAGACGGCCTGTAAACAACCGAGTCTTAGCCAGACCAGCAAAGCAGATCAAGCATCCACAGCATATGGGCACGATGACACCCAATCAACTGACGTCACAAGGGATGACGACCTATAAGTTTGAGTCATCTCATAGGTAACTGGGAACCAATTCTAAGGTCAATGTTTAGTTTGTTTGTTTGTTGTTTAACGCCGCACTAAGCAATATTCCTGCTATATGACGGCGGTCTGGGAACAATCTAGTCTGGACCAGATAATCTAGTAATTGACATCATGGGCATCAATCCACACAGTTGGGATACGATGACATGCATCAACCAACTCAGCGAGTCTGACCACCCGATCCCGTTGGTCGCCCCTTACGAAAAGCATAGTCACCTTTTACAGCAAGCATGGGTTGCTGGAGACCTATTCTACCCCGGATCCTCACGAGTCCGGTCTATGTTTTAACAGAGCTTGATTTTAATTCCAAAGTTATGTTCATCATCAGAGCTCTCTTTCACACGGCAATCATAGCGCTACAAAGCACTGGCAAATGGAGACGCGGTCGGTCCAGTAGACTTAAGATGGTAATTTGCTGCAATTGTGCTGAGTTGCGTACCTTTCCTCGTGCCAAGAACCCCTGACCGTGTGTTAATTAGGTCATGTATGTTACGGCTGCCGTAGTGCTAAGATTGCTCTGGTGATTTACAGGAATACACTACACAAAACAACATTCATGGTCAAGTCAAACGCGATTGCCTCCCTTTTATGTCTTCAGCGCTAAGAGGGCGGATATATAAGACGCGAGTTATATTACAGATATTACCCGTGTGCGACATACGCTTGCAGTCGGAAAGCGCACGTTAAATCTCCAATATAAGTAAGTAAGTAACAGATATTACGCCATACCAAGCGTGACATTCATAGCATACAAAAACCTATTATCACCTGTGAATGGTAATAGAAAAATGGTACGGCTGTCGTAGTGCTAAGATTGCTCTCTTTAAAGAAGTAAGTTATGTTTAGGGTGTTACGAAAGTCGTAGAGCTGAAGTTGCTTTCTTTAAAGGGCCAAAGGCTTCGTTCAACAATGCGATGTTATCGCTAAGACTATAGTAAGTACGGGACCATATCATTGGGCAGGAGCACTCATTGAATCATTCCAAGTAACTGACCAGTGTCATTGAATCTCCTTCCACAGTCCTGACCGAGGTCCACTTTCCGGTCACAGAGGCGTGTTCCTCTTGGCAAGCACTTACGTCCCATCTGATCGTGCTCTGTAACAAAGTTTTCCATTTAGGAACTCATGTCCTGGTATGGGATCTCTTACATGTTAGAACCGTCTCCCTGGTGTAGTTGATAGAACGTAGCCCGGAGAGCGGTAGGTCGGTGGTTCGATCCTCAGTCATTAACCAAACGACATTAAAATATAGTACTTACTTCTACCCTGCCTGGTGGCATTATGGGAATCAAACAGATATTTTATTCGGGTAACGAAAAGTTTTAGTGCTTGTGTTTCCTAATATTCTAAAAAAGATTCCCAATAATTTGAATGCCGTGGTTCAGAAAAGCGTACAGTGTCTTTCGAATGAAAGGATGACGAAATATTAACTATTTTCGATCGCCCAAGATTCAAGAAATGCTAACCCAATCCAAAGATTCGTGACTTCTGGCCACAAACAGATGTTTAGCATTATGTCTGCCGTACATAGATACTAAAGTGGAAACATGGTCCAAATTTATAATATCTCGAAAATCATGAATTGGGTCCGACTGGTAACTAAACCCATGGCAAATATTATATCCATTTTGAAGACATGTGGCTGAGTAATGGTCATCAATAGTTGTTCTGTAGTATGGCTGCCATGTTAACTATTTTGAAACACCCAAGATTAAAGGAATTACTGAGCCAACCCAAAACAATCGTGACCCCTGACCCCTGACCAAAGAATTTTTCAATATGGCTGCCGTATCAGCCATAATGAATTTCGAAATCGAACCTCATGGACAAGTTTCATGACAGTCGCCCAAAAAACCGGGCCATGACATAAGCTTTTAATCAGGTCACACACGCACGCACGCACGCACACACACACGCGCGCACGCACACACACTGACACTGACACATACATACATGACGAATGCATGCCCCCCAGCAGATAAACACGTACCTTCATCTTCATGCCATCGAGTCCCTCGTACTCAAACTCCACCCCCGGCGTCCACGAGTACACCTTAGGCTCGTTGGACCCCACTACCTCCACCTTTGCCGTCCAGCTGTCGCCATCTTTCGTGTACTCCATTACGTATGCCACTTTCCTGAACGCCTCACGGGCTTGCTCAGGAACTCCTGAAAGAAGGGTACAACGTTAACCCCAACAGGGATACAACTGGGTGTTTGTATGTTGGATAACTCCGAATACAGCTATATGAAGGCAACCTGTGTATAGTCGAGTCAGACAAGGCAGTGATTGATATTATGATGACACTCGAGTAACCAAGACCCCAAGCCTTAACCACCTAATCCGTATGCAGTGTTGATGTATCGAGATGTTTGTGTTGTTTTGGCTGTAACAAGGTAGAACTTGCTTTGTGAGCTCATAGAAAAACAACGCTGATTAATAAATACAGAAACCACAAGTAATACTGACATTTCATTTCCGTAATAAACTCAGCAGAGTCTGGAATAGCTTACTCCCGCTGTGAGCGAGTAGAGCGAGTTTGTTAGGCGTATAATTTACATGTTTACATGTTACATGGTTTGCCGTTTCGCCCCCTAAAAGCCAGGAATCCGGGAGAAAAAACTATATTAATTATAAACCTTATTTTCTATAACCGTGCTTATAAAAAAATCACAAATAGTTTCCTTGCCTGGCCAGTGTCCCAGATAAGGGTACATGCCCAATGACCCAGACAAGTGGTACTTGACCGAGGACCCAGTTACGTGGTACTTGCCCAATGACCCAGACAAGTGGTACTTGCCAAAGGACCCAGAGAAGTGGTACACGCCCAAGGACCCAGACACATGGTACATACCCAAGGACCCAGACAAGTGTTACTTGCCCTATGACCCTGTTAAGTGATACTTGCCTGAGGACCCAGACAAGTGGTACATGCCCAATGACCCAGACAAGTGGTAAATACCCAAGGCCCAGACAAGTGGTACATGCCCAATGACCCAGACAAGTGGTACATACCCAATGGCCCAGACAAGTGGTACATGCCCAAATGACCTAGAAAAGGGGAACATGCCCTTTGACCCAGACAAGTGGTACATGCCCAATGACCCAGACAAGTGGTACATACCCAATGGCCCAGACAAGTGGTACATACCCAATGGCCCAGACAAGCGGTACATGCCCAATGACCAAGACAAGTAGTACATGCCCAATGACCCAGACAAGTGGCACATGCCCAATGACCCAGACAAGTGGTACATGCCCAAATGACCCAGACAAGTGGTACATACCCAAAGGCCCAGACAAGTGGTACATACCCAATGACCCAGACAAGTGGTACATACCCAATGGCCCAGACAAGTGGTACATACCCAATGACCCAGACAAGTGGTACATACCCAATGGCCCAGACAAGTGGTACATGCCCAAATGACCCAGAAAAGGGGAACATGCCCAATGACCAAGACAAGTGGTACATGCCCAATGACCCAGACAAGTGGTACATACCCAATGGCCCAGACAAGTGGTACATACCCAATGGCCCAGACAAGCGGTACATGCCCAATGACCAAGACAAGTAGTACATGCCCAATGACCCAGACAAGTGGCACATGCCCAATGACCCAGACAAGTGGTACATGCCCAAATGACCCAGACAAGTGGTACATACCCAAAGGCCCAGACAAGTGGTACATACCCAATGACCCAGACAAGTGGTACATACCCAATGGCCCAGACAAGTGGTACATACCCAATGACCCAGACAAGTGGTACATACCCAATGGCCCAGACAAGTGGTACATGCCCAAATGACCCAGAAAAGGGGAACATGCCCAATGACCCAGACAAGCGGTACATGCCCAATGACCCAGACAAGTGGCACATGCCCTTTGACCCAGAAAAGCGGTACATACCCAATGACCCAGACAAGCGGTACATGCCCAATGACCCAGACAAGTGGCACATGCCCTTTGACCCAGACAAGCGGTACATGCCCAATGACCCAGACAAGTGGCACATGCCCTTTGACCCAGACAAGTGGTACATACCCAATGACCCAGACAAGTGGTACATACCCAATGGCCCAGACAAGTGGTACATGCCCAATGACCCAGACAAGTGGTACACGCCCAATGCTTGTAAATATTTCCACAAAGATATTTTATAGCTTTACCAGTACTCGAAGGAGATGACGGCTTTGTTCCCATGTAAATTATATGTATTGTGTGTTATTCCTATGAAATTTCACAAAAGAATACTAACTAAAAAATAGAGAATGTTCACGCCCCGTTGTTTAATATACTGCAGGGTAAAGGTATACACCCATGTTTGACAGTGGCTGAATATGAAATAAACAAGCCATGGTTTATTCGATGGTTATGTATGAGAGACGGGTATCATATTGGACCTTAAGTTTGCAGTGTTTCAGAGACTGTTTTCATCCCAGTAAGGTTTTGGTCACTTTTGTATTTTTTTGGTCAAATCCAGTTTTCAAGTTTATTTAACCTGGCAGTTGATATATTAAATATATATAAATAATGTATATGTTACCTGGAACATCTGGTTGACGTGCTAGGAAGGGTGATTAGACTCTAACCTTCGTTTAGCATACCTGAAGATGAGGGTTAGAATTTGTCTTCAGGTACCTGTGTATGAGGCGACTAATGGGATCGGGTGGTCAGGCTCGCTGACTTGGTTGATGTATGTTGTCGTATCTCAACGGCTTGTGATGTCAGTCACTGGAGTATTAAGTCTTGATTCGATTATTTATAGCCGTCATATAGCTACAATATTGCTGAACAACAACCGCTGAACACCAAAAAACAAAACAAAAAATATATAGCATGTCTCCTGTGGACCAATATGAGTACATAGTTTGTTTGTTTGTTTGTTCTACCAGCAGTGAAAATAATGTGGTGATCTTAAGTGACAGTCGCCTTGATATACCAATAGTACGTATGTGTCCTAATAACACATTATCACATGTGTTGGCTAATTAGGGAATAGAGCATTTCAATATGGTTTTTGATGTATTTTCTTTGTAGAAACACGGTATGAAAACTCGAATGCTTTGAAACTAAAACGAGATAAACGAGCGGCCATTTTCAAGTCACTTCAGGAATGTTTTGCCGTAAGTACTTTCTTAATGCATGTCAGATAAAAGAAAAACGTATCTTATACCTCTGATGTAAATTCAAGTTCATTCAGGTTTAAATACACACAACATATTTTCAATATATTTGGTTAGCGTATTTTCCTCGAGTCGCTAGAAATAACGGTACTTCTTCTCAAACAGTTCTGTCATGAATGAGTGAGTGAGTGAGTTGGGTTTAACGCCGCTTTTAACAGTATTCCAGTTATATCACGGCGTGTCAGCTTAATGTGGGAGGAAAGCCCGAAGTGATGCAGGTCTCAGACGTTTACCACGTAGGTGAAACCCACGAACACGGGTATGGTTCTGACGAACCTAGAAACATAATCGGGGCTAACCGTGATTCGAACCCACAATCATAGGTTTCTGGGGTGCCCAAGGGACGCAACTCTGAACAGCGAATCGCGGCGCCTTAGACGACTGGGCCACCCGTGCCCCCGTTCTGTCATGAAAGACACCGTTATCACCGTTATATTTGAAACACACCGTTATCACAATACTACGTCTATTTGAAACCCACCGTTTATCATAGTAAAACGTGTATCTGATATAATTGTTTTCTACTTCACTTATAAGAAAAAATGTAGACTTTAAGGAAGTTATTTATGTTAAAAATATCTTGTTCGATTTGTGGAGGTTCGATATAAATATATTTTATTTATTTTTGTAATATAGTTCGTGTTCTCATTGGTTATATATAGCCTGTATAATTAAATGGAATTTCAAGCGTCTTATTCCAACTACAATTATATCAAGGGACCGGATGTCCAAACACTTGCGGTTAGGATACCAAAGGTCGTAGTTATGTGGCATGCTATTGCTCACACTCGTTCATTCACGTTGCTACAGATATCAGGCAGTTGTATTTACAGTAGCAGTAACAGTGATGCATACATGTCCACTCCCTATACAGTAGTCCTGTATCACGACTGTTGAATATTTTGTATTTTATGAAATCAAAACTAATCTAATTTTATATAAAAGCAAGTCTAGCCAGCTCTAGCCAGCTCTATTTCACAGTCATGTCATCTTTTGTAGATAGGAAGGCTCTGAAAATGTTTATTCTATGAAAATTATTTGTTTTTATAATTGAGGAGAGAAATGAATTTTGTAATACGATTTCACGGCTATATGTGAGTCGACATAGACAGCGATGTGTATATAAAAGCGACAGTGATGTATATAAATAAGTGACAGTAAAACACTTGAAAATAAACTGGGGGCGCGTGTGGCCCAGTCGTCTAAGGCGCCGCGATTCGCTGTGCAGAGTTGCGTCTCTTTGGCACGCCAGAAACCTATGATTGTTCGAATCCCGGTTCGCCCCGATTATGTTTCTAGGTCTGTCAGCACCATACCCGTGCTCGTGGGTTTCAACTTAGTGGTAAACGTCTGAGACCTGCATCACTTCGGGCTTTCCTCCCACATTAAGCTGACACGCCGTGATATAACTGTAATACTGTTAAAAGCGGCGTTAAACACAACTCACTCACTGAAAATAAACTGTGACTGTACATTAATGTCAGACGCACCAACCAACACAACCTGGATCACAATGCTAAGAATAATAATTATTTACCAGTAGCCTGTGAACATTTTGTATATTTGTTTGTTCTATAGAATGTGAATTAATAACATGAGTGTGGTATCTGCTCGAAGCTCGCAGACGGACTGTTCCCGCTCCCTCCTTCCGTCTCACAGAAACCATCTTCCGCCCGGTCTCACAAATCGCCAACCTCAAAAACATTATCTGGTGTCCAATCGGGGAGACGCAAGACGATATATTATTTTATCCTATATGCTCTACCAATTGCAGTCCTCGTTCAGGATGCTCCCTTCACCCAACCTCCAGCATGGCGTGGTATTTTCCGACACCTGACCTGGATTCAAAGCTGACCCCTCTTTATGATACATCCAACCGCAGGCGAACACAAACAATGCTATATTCCTGCCGCACACCACAACCAATTCACAATAACGAGAAGTGGGCCATTGGGATCGGCGTGCTGAACAGCGTTTTATCGAGTTGAAATGTATCTCTCTGACATATGAGTTGAGACAAACACTGAGTCACTGTGTCCCCTGCGGAATGTTAGCAGACCATACATCGTTTGGTGTTGATTCCATGGAAACCTGCGAGAATACGGGCTTGTTACTTTCTGGCTATACCGTGCTGCCTCGTTTAATAACCCTGTTATAACTTATAAACGACAACACCATTCTCTGTTGGTCACGTAAAAGACTTCAACTCTTAACACGGGATGTGGACTTTTTGACTGAGTCAGTGAATGTTGTTGTTTTTCTCGCTAACTTTAGCCAATGTACAGCGGGGCGAGCGAGGGATGGTTGACACAGTGATGGGTTTCACATATTGTTGTCACGTTGGAATCGAACCCGGATTTTCGGCGTGACGAGCTATGCAACGCTTCAGCGACTGCACCTTCTCTCGACAATTGGAACAGTTCATGTTGAAAAAACAGCGGTATATCTGAGACCATAAGACCCACAGTAAAGTGTATTTCATATCTATTGAGCTTAAGTTACACTGTGCATAGCAATTGATCTCGCCCCACTCAGCAATATTTCAGCTGTATGATGGCGGTTTGTAAATAATCGAGTCTGGACCACACAATCCAGTGATTGACATCATGAGCATCGATCTACGCAATTGGGAAAAGATGACACGCATCAACCAAGTCATCGAGCCTGACCAGCCGATCCCGTTAGTCGACTCTTATGACAAGCATTGTCGCCTGTTACGGAAAGCACTGGCACTGGCTGCTGAAGAATTCTAACCCGGATCTTTACGGATCGAAGTTACAAGACACATGTAAAGTAATTTGCATCTATCATACATGTCTCAGAAGCTGAGGTGATGAATATGTAGTGATACGATGAAAGTATCTGACATGTCGTCATACCTTGTGGGAAACATTATATTTTATTCCTATATGAGTTACATTAAATGAATTAAAGATGTTCATGCTTTTAATAACCTGCATCTCTTAGGCAAAATATTCGGTACACAATATTGGGTGCACATTTTACACATTTGCAAAGTTTGTTTCTTTGAGGCTACTACTAACATAGCCGAACATGACAGCATAACGATTTTGCCAAATATGGCGATAAACATCAAAATAAGCAGAAAATGGTGTCGTGGCATTGTAGCTCACCTGGATACGTAGTCAAAAGTATAAAATGTAAAACAAAATATAGCGGTACCTAAATTCTGAGGACTAAAAACCAAGACTAAAATATAATAATTTGAATCAAATATAGATAAAAGATAGAAATATTGAGAACTATAAAGGTTCATCTCACTCGGCCAAATATGTCTTTTGACATAATTTAAGATCACGGACAAAACGAGGTCAAAATTACATTTCATATATATAGCAACAACGGAACGTATGTTCAAACTTATGACCAAAATACAGGTTTTTCAATATGACTGACAAGGATCTATCTGAGGCAACATAATAAAAAATTATATATTCTGTATAATTATATAATAACCGACCACCCAAAAGCACGGCAGGATTCTAAAGGTTTCCTTTAGTTCTATTGCCAACACGTGCAAAAATGTGCTCGTGGGGTCTTCTCTGCCGTGACATGGACAAACGTTTGACAGTGAGGCTAACAAGTCTTCTGTAATATGTAAAGTGTCTGGTTAATATCGTCGAGAGCATACCACACATATGTCTGTTGCTGCTGTGCGGTGTCTCTCATCACAGACCAACGTAAAAAATCGGCCATATCCGAAAATGTTTACTAATTTTAACATTTGAATGATCCTCAGTTATCCTAAGGTAATCAAGACAGGCTGTGAGGTTTTAGAGCCTTTGAGGAACGCCAATTTAGGTTTGAGTGATTCCAAAGTCTAAAAAGAACTAATATAAATGGACCCGTCGACTTGTTTTGTTGAAGAAGTGATCACGAACAAAATATATTTTCTGTGGCCTTAAGTTGACAGGCTTTAAATAAAATACATCCTTTAAACGACATTGATGTTTTGACTTTTTCAGAATGGGAGATATTTGCAATTGGGAGAGTGGCAAGTCGTTCCATGTAGAGATATGCAGCAATTAAGAACGTACAACGAAGGCACGGAGCTTGACCTAGAGTCAGTCAGTCTGTGGCCCCAGGAAAAATCTTAAGCAGGTCGTTTATTCACGTAAGGTGTACGCCCTTTGATTCGTATAACGTCAGCACTCCTTGGGCAATGGCAATCGAAAAACAGGAATCCAAGGGTTAATGTACGCGCGGGGCATAGCGGTTCTGTTAGGTAAATCATAAATCATAGGTAAAACAGTCTTACCTATAGCATCGGTGAATTCATCAAATCCTGTTGTTTCTTCGGGGAGCAGTTCCCATTTTCCTTGATACAGATCCATGCCTGAAGTTACACGGAGACGATGCTTTTACACAGTAATAGGCTATTCTACCGAGATTCTGCGAGTTGTCGCGAGGTTGCGAGTTGGGTCTGGAAAGACTTGAAACTGAATGACTGCCGGTATTGGCGGTCGGGGTTTATATTATACAGTCTGTCCGGGTTTGAGAGGCACAAGGTTTGTTGTCTCGCCACTCTAGATGGGACTGGCGAAGGAATTAGCATCAGGATTAATTAAGCTTCCGGTTGTGATGTGTTACTAAGGGCACGTCATCGGTTTGCCGTGATGAGATCATGCTGCGAGTCCTGTTACTCATAAAAAATACTTCCTAGAACTGTTTACTAAGCTCATGAATCCGTTTCCGAGAAAACAGAATTTTCTGAATCATTTGTTCGAGGGATACACCGAAAACGTTATCGTATGTCAGTTTTCTTCGTGCGATCTTGCTGTAACCCCTCACTTACGAGGGTCCACGTGTCACACTGCTGTCGTTGTATGACCGTGGGTCAGCAGGTTGTGAATAAAAGTGACAATGGATTAGGACCAAGCAATATCTGGACAGGATGTCCATCGAGCGTGAATAAAGGTCGAAAACAGCACTTCACGGAAGTTTTTTTAAAGTAAGTGAGTGAGTTGTGTTTTACGATGCTTTTATCAATATTCCAGCAATATCACAACGGGGTACACAAGAAATGGGATTCACACATTTAAGCCATGTTGGGAATCGAAGCACTTCCTTTGGCATAAAGAACACGTCCAGAAGAGAACTGTTTAAATATTGTTATTAAATATGATATTCTTTAGAATTGATTTTGATATTCAGCAACAATCTTGGCAGCGTTACATTTGTATGAGCAGTTGGGGTACCAGTATATACGGGGTTGGTGTGTTTTCTGAGTTGTCAGCGCTTATATGTCCTGGGGCGGTCGGATAGCTTTGTGGTTCGATTCCCGACATGAGTACAATGTGTGAAGCCCATTTCTGGTGTCCCCGTCGTGATATTGCTGGAATATTGGCGTAAAACCATACTCACTCGCTCACTTACATGTCCTACCCGCCCTATCGCATATACGATCATTCCCAGCATCTCAATATCGGTATTTCTGTGCAATATCGCTTCGCATTCTCTATACTTCCTGGGTTTGCATTTTGGTAAAACTACAATATTCCCTGGGTCCATTCGCGCGGTGGTAATGTCACCACGGCGCTGCCATACTTCACTACACGATGACTTGGATTGTTTTCCATAGTTCTAATCACTAATCTTTTTCCTGTGCCTCTACCACTCATGACATTCGTGAAGTGTTAATAGGCAGGAAGTGCACAATGCGAACTGTGTGCAAACAAAGTTGTAATATAACAGGATACGGTAATAAGGTCATTTGTGCTGAATCATGGTGTGCTTTAAGAGACATTGTTATAAGCTTGACCTTTTCCCTTCATGAGTCATGTATAAATAATGTAATCATCAGACATATTTATCAACAATTAGCAATAACAAGCAATAATGTCGGCCATGATGTTGAATAAATATAAATAAATAAAAAGTTTCCCCCTCTTTTTGTCTCTTACCTCCCTCTCTTTTTCTTCCTTTTACTTAAAATACTCTCTCTCTCTTTCTGTCTCTCTCTTAGAGAGTAGAATATATATATATATATGTATGTGCGTGCGTGCGTGCGTGCGTGCGTGTGTGTGTGTGTGTGTGTGTGTGTGTGTGTGTGTGTGTGTGTGTGTGTGTGTGTGTGTGTGTGTGTGTGTGTAATCACTTAAGTGGAAAATAGGGTAACTGGTATCCAATCCCGGTTTGAAGCTTCTAATTTGGGGTGACTGGTAATTCTACCATCACATATTGATTTAGCGGCAACCGTTGCCCTACGAATACTGCACAATCATGCAAATCTATTATTACGTACCATGTCTTGTACATCAGACAATGTTTTATATATATTCATACTAAAGAAGCTGACATCGATAAATTCGCTTCCTTATGTGTATCCCTTTTAAATGCCATTCAAAGACTTAACAAATATCCCCAGTAGGTTCTGTCATCACATAGCAGGAATATTGCTGAGTGTAGCGTTAAACAACAAACAAACAAACACCATTGCTGCCGGGTAGCGGAATAAGACGAGTGGACCCGAGTGGGAAACGGGAAATAAATGTTACTTCACTAAGAAAATGAATGAATAAACCGTGTGAACCGAATGAATGAATAAATCGTATGGAGGAATGACGTAAAGGAAAGGGAAACATGTCTGCCATTGTCGTAAATACGTATAACATCTTGCATACCACATCTGACTGTCTATCCGCTCCTCGCACTCCTCCTCCTCCTCCTCCTCCGCAGCACGTGCAACAGTTCCCACAGCATTAGTTATAATTAAGCAAGCTTGGAGTTTATGGGATGGACGAGAGTGTTCTTTTTCCCACGTTGGTACAAGCTCAATCTTCCTATCTCACGAAAGTACTTTAAACATTGCTGAATAGAGCCTTGATCCCTTTGGTCACTATCTATGGTGTCTGCATGTATGGTACCTAAACCGAGGAGCAAAAGGAACTATACCTCTCCCCGATTTTATCATCTAAAAACTTAACTTTTCCTGTGTTTTGTCAGCACTCCAAAGAATATTTCTACATGTTTTTATTAAAAAAAATATAAATTGATTTATTTTTTTAAACAAGAAAATAATATAAGGACGAGAATCTATGGATGTCATCTTCTTTATTATGACGAAACACAACGTTTCGGAGTATATGCTTAATGCTATGAGGCAGAGATCATAATATTATATATAATGTACATGTAAGGACAATAAAAGTAATAAGATAACAAAAGGTGGAAACTAACAAGGAGGCCACCAGATAACTGCCGCTGAGGGGTGATTAGCAAAAGACAATAGAAGCCAACACTTTACAGTAATTAGCGCTGATGGTTATGGACAACTGGAAGCCAGTCCTTAAGTTATCATTGATTGGTTATGGGGAAACGGGAGGCCGGGGGATTAATTTGAACCACTCTCAAATACAACCACACTCTTTAGTCTACAACGTACACGAGAGGAGTGTTGTGTAAGGTGGGTCTGAAACATCACCATATGGTTAATAACAACACGGTGCCAACACAACAGTGCATTATCTGCGTGGAAAGAGGATGCAGAGTAGGCTCTGGCTCCCGGAGGCGAGGAGTTCCTCCCTGCACAGCTGGAATCTCAAGCATGGCATGCGGAACTTAACCAATTTGGCAAAATGCCGAAAAAACCCTCTCATGGCAAGGAGAGTAGGTTCCTCTGTTGTGTCGGAGTTGCGACAAGTTGCACCTAGCAGTGCATAGTCCTCCACACGTTATATATGTTGAGATGTCGAGACCGTCTCCCTGGTCTAGTGGTAGAGCGAACCCCCGGAGAGCGGAAGGTCCGGGTTCGATCCCCGGTCGCGTCATACCGTTAAAAGATGGTACTTGTTGTTAACCTGCCTGGCGCTCGGCATTAAGTGGCTAAAACAAGGACTGGTCGGCTCCGAGTCAGTATACTGTGTATTCTTTTTATGTTGCAGATATACTATCAGACAACCTTTCTTGGAGTAATGTCAATCTAGAAGAACTCCTGAATCTTGTTTTAGCGCCACTTTGAACAGTATTCCAGTTATGTCACGGCATGTCAGTAATGATGCAGGTCTTAGGCGTTTTCCACTTTGACGAGACCCACGAGCAGGTGTATGGTACTGACAAACCTAGAAACATAATCACTGGCGTATCGGTCAGTTCCACACACAAAAGGCTCTCGACAACCCGACACAGGATTGTAGAACCGTGTGAGTGAGTTGCGTTGAACGATGCTTGGAACAGTATTCCAGTTACATGTACATCACGACATGTCAGCACATGTGGGGGGAGCACAGGAAGTGATGCAGGTCTCAGACGTTCACCACTACGGTGGATCGAACCCCGGACCTTCCGCTCTACCTCTACCACATAGACGGTCTGGGGACTTCTTGTAACACCCAGAGGATTATTAATTACAAATACAAATACACATGGAAACATACGTCCACCTCGAAGGGGGCACGGGTGGCCCAGTCGTCTAAGGCACCGTGCTTCGCTGTGCAGAGTTGCGTCCCTTCGGCACGCCAGAAACCTATGATTGTGGTTTTGAATCCCGGTTCGCACCGATTATGTTTCTAGGTTTGTCAGCACCATACCCGTGCTCGTCGGTTTCACTGAAGTGGTAAACGTCTGAGACCTGCATCACTTCGGGCTTTCCTCCCACATTAAGCTGATACGCCGTGATATAACTGGAATACTGTTAAAAGCGGCGTTAAACCCAACTCACTCACTCACTCACTCCAACTGGAACGTTTGTCTTTAGTGAAAATGATTACAACAAACCGCTCAGCTAATGTTAATTTAGTCGAGAGTCTGTTATTTCACTGTAGTCCGTTATTTGTTTTCGTTCGATACCGAGGACCAATGCATGTCATGTTTAGTGACGTCCAATCGCAGCCAACGACAAATCGACAGTCGCCTCTCTACTAGTTTATGTAGTCCAGTGTAGGTAGTTTAGGCAGGACCCCATTCAAGTTCGTACGAGGACGCGGTTTTGAATGTTCATCTATGCGTTCAAAAGAGCAGATTTTATTGATTGTTGAGATGGTGACGTCACTTCAAAGACAAAAGTACCTCAGTATTCAGGACACACTACATTCTATGGGAAGACTACCAGCAAAGGATCCACATGGTCGATCATCGTTTAGGATTTATATCACTAATTGAATGATTAATTGTTGTGTGCCATTTGATTTAAAAGAGCAATTTATTGACAAGGCACTACATCGTCCGTTTTAAAGCTATTCAGTTCTTTTTTGTGTCAATTATTATATATTTTTGGTGTGAATAAAGAAAGCACAATTGACATGATTTTTAAAACAACAACAACAACAACAACAACAACAACAACAACAACCCTATGTTATCAGCTGTATCATTAAATTGACAACAACAACAACAACCCTATGTTATCAGCTGTATCATTAAATTGACAAGGAATAAATACTTTACCATAACAAAGCACATTGGAGGTATAAAACAAGATTTTGTTTATGGGTGAAAGACGCTCACGAAACTTAATCAATTACATAGGCATTTAATTCAAAATGAAATCAAGTATTTGTTGAAATATCCACATTTCTTTTTTTTGGATCAACCATCAGGGTTCAGCAAATACACGAGTTCATCGGACAGTAGCCAGTAAACATTATTTGGGACCAGTAGATTTAAATCTGATTGGTCCAGCTGAAGCGTGGAAAATAGGAAATGTCGGTTACCTCATTTTTCTTTATTAGGAGAATATTTGGAATACACAAATTATCAAAAATAGGTGTAATTATTTCTATCTGTGTTACCAGTCAGTATTTTGTACTTAATCGTGCTCATCAATGTTCACTGCATGGTGATAAAGTTGATTGGTTGGTGTGGCTTTTTGTATTACGCCGCACTCAGCAATATTCCAGCTATATGACGGCGGTCTGTAAATAATCGAGTCTGGACCAGACAATCCAGTGATTGACATTATGAGCATCGATCCATGCATTTGGGATCGATGACAGGCTTCAACCAAGTCAGTGAGCCTGACCACCCGATCCCGTTAGTCGCCTCTTCCAACAAGCATAGTCGCCTGTTACAGCAAGAATGGGTTGCTGAAGACCTATTCTACCCCGGATCTTTACGGGTCTCCATGGATCAGTGACTTGTCTGGCATCGTAACCCGACGGCGTGAGGTATTGCTCATAGTATCAATCACTGGTTTGTCTACTCTAGACTCGATTATAGACAGGCCACCGTCATAAAGCACGGATCCATGATCTCAACTACTGATCCATGGAGTCGTTTCGAGCAAGGATATAATTGGAATACTGTTCAAAGCGGCGTTTAAGCCAACTCACTCCCTCATAGGCCAAACATATGCATAGGGTGTTGGGAACCCCGCAATCCCAGATTGGCGGAATTGATGTTTGTTTGTGTTTGTTGTTTAACGCCGCACTCAGCAATATTCCAGGTGACAAAAAAATAAATCTATCTACACATCCGCACAACGTCCTCGGTGTAGATCACATTCTCCTCGAGTTCTCTCAAGTCCCCGCGAGAAACCGCCACACTTGTGGTAGGGTAGTTTTGATGTTACGAGTTAAGAAGATTATGTCCACAATCACTGGATGTAATTATCTGTAAGTGTTTGCGGGCATCACTGTAGTTAAGGTCAGATGAGTTACTCCCCTTTCATTAGTAAATTGTATGCTCTAAGTGTTTTCGTGTTTCGTGTTTCGTGTTTCTTGTATTTCGTCTGTGACTGTGTATCTCTGACCCTTACAGATCCGCATTCTTATTTCGTCAGAGGCGACTAACGGGATCGGGTGGTCAGGCTCTCTAACTTCGTTGATGCATGTCATCGTATCCAAACTATGTAGATCGATGCTCGTAATGGCAATCACTGGATTGCTTGTCCAATCTCGATTATTTATAGACCGCCGTCATATAATTGGAATAATGCCGAGTGCGGCGTTAAACAACAAACAAACCAACCTTGGCAATTGAGAAACGTAGACGTCATAAGCAGGATCAGTGGTATATTGCTCGGCAAAAAGGGGACGTTCAAGATTCGAATCGCACCGAAGCTGCCGTCATAATTTCTATGCACACATCCAGATAAGACACTGAATATGGTTTCTCAGTCCTGTCTTTGAGGTTAAGAAAAGAGGTCGTCAATACATCTGGAACTGAGGTTGAACGTTTGGTCAAAATGTCCATTTTCTTATTTAACTAAAATAATATCAGGTTGTGTGTTGAAAAATAGTTTAGATGAGTTGTGCTTATAGAATCCAATCCACATGCAATATTTATCACTGCTATTGATTACGAAAATCTAATAGGGCCCATTTTGATTCTTACCATGTACCTGCCGTTCACAGTGTTCACAGACCCAGTCTTATGATAGGTTGCATGTTTACTGAACACAAAAGTTCAGGAGTATGGATGCCTTTTGTTGTTAAGAGGGAGCACACAATTTCATAAATATATCCACAAAGATCTTCATAACCCCTATCGGGGGCACGGGTCGGCCAGTCTTCTAAGGCGCCGCGATTCGCTGTGCAGAGTTGCGTCCCTTGGCCACGCCAGAAACCTATGATTGTGGCTTCGAATCACGGTTCGCCCCGATTATGTTTCTAGGTTTGTCAGCACCATACCTGTGCTCGTGGGTTTCACCGAAGTGGTAAACGTCTGAGAACTGCATCACTCAGGCTTTCCTCCCACATTAAGCTGACACGCCTTGATATAACTGGAATAATGTTAAAAGAGGCGTTTAACCCTCCTCACTCACTCATAAGCCCTATCATTTTTTTGTTCAGCATATTTTGTCCCATGTTCACTTATTCCACCAATCTGATAAAAATCAGAACTTTACTCCGATGCAATGCCGCTCTCAGGCCACCCCCAAGAAGGTCGCTTTAGGGAACTTTACTCCGATGCAATGCCGCTCTCAGGCCACCTCCGAGAAGGTCGCTTCAGGGAACTTTACTCCAATGCAATGCCGCTCTCAGGCCACCCCCGAAAAGGTCGCTTCAGGGAACTTTACTCCGATGCAATGCCGCTCTCAGGCCACCCCCAAGAAGGTCGCTTCCGGGAACTTTACTCCGATTCAATGCCGCTCTCAGGCCACCCCGGAGAAGGTCGCTTCAGGGAACTTTACTCCGATGCAATGCCGCTCTCAGGCCACCCCCGAGAAGGTCGCTTCAGGGAACTTTACTCCGATGCAATGCCGCTCTCAGGCCACCCCCGAAAAGGTCGCTTCAGGGAACTTTACTCCGATGCAATGCCGCTCTCAGGCCACCCCCGAGAAGGTCGCTTCAGGGGACTTTACTCCGATGCAATGCGGCTCTCAGGCCACCCCCGAAAAGGTCACTTCAGGGAACGTTACTCCGATGCAATGCCGCTCTCAGGCCACCCCTGAGAAGGTCGCTTCAGTGAACCTTCTAATAAGCCAATCAGCGTATGGGATTTAAATTTTCGGTACGAGAGAGCGAAACATTCAAACCAGCATATCTGTTCGTGAGAGAACAAAGACGTATTAGTGTCTTGAGATAATTTAATCCGCTGCAATCGACGAGAAATACACAAATGGGCTTTGAGATTGAGTTGTGATTGTGTTTTACCTATCATTACTTTGTTTTTCTTCGTGACTGGCATGCGAAATCAACGGCGACATGCAATCCTCTCCATAATAACCAACACAAGGGAGCTAACTAAAAGTTAATTATAACGGACTACCGCACAAAAGAAATAATCAAATTAATGCTGGTCATTAACATAGCCATCCCCCTGACAGGGTCAAAAGCGTTTGCTACCATTAATAACCTAAATGTCCAAGTAAAGAAAATGATAATCAATAAATCTAGATGAATGTTCATAGGAAATCTGAGCTCTGTGTTCACTTTGTGCAAGTCCTACATCTAAGCGTCACTACACACAGATTCTTCCAGCACACACACCTTAGCCGCTGGTCTGATGTACTGACCATTTTTGGTTTGGACTTTCAAAGCTCGAACACGTCCATCATCGCCAGCGTAAACCTCGACGATCCTTGCCAAATCCCAATGTCCTCTGGGTTTAGCTTCGTCGACCACCAGAACGAGATCTCCAACTGAAACATTCTGAGATTCTGATCTCCAACACCTTCTCACAGTTAGCTCCGGCAAATATTCCTTTTGCCAGCGCTTGTACACATGATCCGCAATGACTTTAGCCTGTCTCCACCGTCGTCTACTATTGATTTCGTTATCATGAAAAACATCAGGTGGAGTACAAACATCAGCTCTCCCAAGAATAAAGTGTTTCGGAGTAAGTGCCGTAAAGTCGCTTGGGCTGGTACTGTTGTAGGTCAGTGGCCTGCTGTTCAAGACAGCTTCAACTTCGATCAAGGCAACTCGAAGAACAGTTTCTCGAACACAGAGATTTTTCAGGACTGACCTCAAGGCGGCTTTGACAGAACGCACTAACCTTTCCCACGCTCCACCAAAGTGAGGACTGAGAGGGGGATTAAAATGCCATTCAATCTTCATCGGGGTGAGGCAGTCAGCAATTTTGGTTTGCTGGAGGTTCTGCAAACATTGATACAGTTCATTGTCTGCACCGCGGAAATTAGTGCCATTGTCACTATAAAGATGACCAGGATGTCCACGACGTCCTATGAAACTCCGAAGAACCAACAAAAATTCATCTGTCTCAAGTGAATTTGCAAGCTCAATGTGGACGGCTCTTGTTGAGAGACATGTAAATAGACAGCCCCACCTCTTCACTGTGCTTCTACGTTCCTTCACCATCAGTGGACCGAAATAATCAACTCCTGTATGAGCAAACACGCCTTCAAAAGCACTAATCCGACATATAGGCACATCTGCCATCTTGACAATGGTGGGCTTTGCTCGTCTTCGGTGGCAATCACGGCAACTGCGTAGAACTTGTTTGGCTATTTTCCTTGCATTGACTAGCCAATATTGTTGTCTAACAAGTGCTATCATATGCTCTTGTCCACAATGTGCAGACTTGATATGCATATCTTCCATGATCAGGTGAGTCACTGGGTGATTGCCAGGCATGATTATCTGATACTTGGCTTCATTGGGAATCTGAGCTTTGCGCAGTCTTCCTCCAACTCTGATAAATCTACCGTCAAATGTCGGAGACAACGGAAAGAGTTTTGATTTCGCTGAGAGCCCCTGACCTGCTTCAAGATTAGCAAATTCCTCAGGGAACGCTTCCCTCTGTGTTTCTTCAATCAAGTGATACTCGACCTCTGTTCGCTCCCTCACTGTCATTGTTTTGTTGCGATTTGGTTTCAGTTCTCTGTGTTTCAGTGTTGACAGAAAGTTTTGAACTGCTCTTAAAGTCCATGCCGACAGGCCGACAAGTCGTTGCCAAAATGAAAAGTCAGCTGGATCCAAGATGCCCGACAGCTTGAGGCCTTGTAAGTCAGGAGCTGATTGATCTCGTTTGACAAGACTCTTCATCACACATTTGCCTTTGATTTCTGGGTCATTCCCAGGTGTGTGTCCTGGAATCTCATGTAAAGGCCAGTTGTCTTCAGATGACCAGAGGAATTCAGGTCCATGAAACCATGGATGAGTTGTGTTAGGCTGCATGCATGCAGTCCTCTTGTTGAGTGGTCAGCTGGATTGTCCACACTTGCAACATGACACCACTGCTTACAGTCGCTTGAGTCAAGGATTTCCGACACTCTGTTGGCTACGAATGGCTTGAAGCGTTTCGTTTCATTGTTCAGATATTGTAGCACAGTATTCGAATCTGTCCAGAACAAAACTCTTTCTATTTTCAGGTCCAGCTCTTTTTTCAGCACAACCCACAAACGGATTGCTAAAACTGCCCCTTGAAGTTCCAGCCTGGGTATCGTCAACTGTGGAGTTAATGGTGCAACATGAGTCTTTGCAGCCAGGAATGAGCATGTGTTTGTCCCGGAATTAAGCAAGTACCGAAGATATGCTACAGCACCGTATCCTTTCTCTGAAGAGTCAGCAAATACATGCACTTCTACATGATCAAACTGTGACGAGAACAGCAGGTGATGCCTGGGTAAATTGAAATCGTGTAACTGTTCCAGCTCGCTGTGCCATACTTCCCATTTTGCTTGGATATCTATTGGAAGTGTATCATCCCAATCGAGACCACATCGCCATATTTCTTGGATCATGAATTTGGCGCGGATAGTGAATGGAGCAAGATATCCGCATGGATCGAATATTGAACAAACAGTACTGACTATAGCTCTTTTAGTGTTTGTCACATCCCTATGTGTGGGATTGAATGTAAAGCAGTCCTGCTCAACATTCCAGCGCAGTCCTAGAGCACGTTGCAGGGGTTGTTCATCTAAATCAAAGTCTTTAGGCTGATTTGCTTTTTGACTTTCAGGAATAACAGCAAGGACTTTCTCTGAGTTTGAGACCCACTTATGTAAATGAAAACCACCCTTTTGCATCAGATTTGGTAGGTCCTGTGTCATCTGGATCGCTTCAGCTACAGTTTCAACTGACTTCACCAGATCGTCAACGTAGAAGTCTCTCGAAACAGCCTTGATCACTGATGGATGAAATTCATTTGCGTTGTCGCAAGCAGTTTGCTGGAGTGCATAACATGCACAAGAACATGAATCGGTGGCTCCAAAGATGTGGACAAGCATTTTGTAGACATCAGGTGGACCAGGTTGCTGGTTGTCGGCTTTCCATAAGAATCTTAGTGAGTCTGAGTCATGTTCAAAAACTCTTACTTGGTGGAACATGCCTTCCACATCAGCCATGAGGGCAATTTGATATAACCTGAACCTCTGAATCACTCCAAACAAGTTATTCACTAAATCTGGGCCACTCAACAGATTGTCATTTAATGATGTTCCGGCATATGCTGCAGCCGCATCAAAAACTACCCTCACCTTGCCAGACTTATTTGGGCTTGTGACTCCATGGTGCGGTATATACCACGTTCGTGGTGAAACACTGGCTATTTCCTCCTGCATGAGTTTTCGTGCATGACCATTTGATATATAGCCATTCAGAGTGTTGCTGTACATGATCCCGAAATCTTTATCATGCATTAGTCTCTTTGCCAAGAGCTTGAATCGTTTCTCCGCAGCAGCATAGTTGTTCGGGAGAATGCAATCCGCCTTTTTCCAGAGCATACCAACTTGGTAATGTCCATCCACTAAACAGGTAGTCTCTTTCAGGATGTGTTCTGCTTTTCGATCATCCATGGACGATGATTGCTTCTTGTCATACGCAGCTCCAAAAGACTCAGTTTTCCAGAATCGCTCAACACTCTCGTGTATTTCCAGATCGCGTGTAATTGTGAGATTGACACTGGCTTGGACTTCCTGAGCAGCACTACTTTCACAACTTGCCACCCCCATGAGTGACCATCCCAGGGCAGTGCGAACAGCAACTGGTTCATCTTTTTGTCCCTCAATGACTTCAACTTGCAAGTGTGCCTCCGGAATGTTTAAGCCAATCATCATCTTGATTTGTGCTGGTTCAACTGAGGGTATGTCTAGGTGTTTGATATGCTTCCAGTCTGGATTCACGCACTGAGGTCGGCAATCAAAAGCATTGGATTTGACTGTCCATGCTTCTTTTACATGAATGTTGGAGGCATCAAGCATATTTGCTGATGTAATGTTAAGGGAAACTCTGCTTGATGGCTCTGTAGTTATACTATTACATGTTTTCATCTTAAGAGTTTGCCGTTCTCCTTTGATTCCCAAATCCTGCACAAACTCATCATGAATCAAGGTGACATCGCTGGCAGAATCTAACAATGCAAACGTTTTCATAACTCTACCACTCTGTCCATACGCAAGAATTGGCACAATCTGAAAGAACACTGTGTTTCCAAATGACTGCATCTTCCTGTTTATTGCTTCAACTGTTTCTGGATTATTTCGATGCAACATTGTGTGATGTCTCTTGCCACATCCTGGTTCTCGGCATGCCATCAAAGAGAAACTCTTATCTGCTGTGTGAGAGGGTTTCAAGCAGTTGAAACAAAGCTTATTCTCAGTGACGACAGTACTTCGTTCAGGAACAGGCTTGTTTGAAAACAGTGGACAGTGATATAGATAATGAGGCTGTTTACACATTGGGCATGGTAACTTTGAACGACTGTCATATTGCTTGACTGAACCTTTTCGAGCAAGCGGAGTCTTACTGTTTTGTATGTCAGTCATGGAAACCGTCGTAGCATATACTGTGCTTTGTCTTTCAGGTCCCTTGTACCCTGAAGATCCGTTATGTTTAGACAATTTCCTTTGGGTTGATGTATGAGCAGCGAATGCAATGGCATATGGGTTGAAATCTGCATCTACCCTGTCCCTTAGCCAATTGTTGAGATCATACAGGTTGGGTTCTCTAGTTCTTGTGGTGTGTCGCACAAACTCATTCCATTTTGTGATTTTGTCATTTGGTAAACGTCTTGCAATTCTGAGCACCATATCTGGGCTGTGTAATTCAGACAAATACTGAAATTGCTCAAGTGTTGTAATGCAGTCCCGAATAGTAACGTAGAACTTTCGAAGAGATGATGGGTCGTGACTTGCAATCATCGATCCTGAGGTCACTCTTTCCAAGAAAGCTCTTGCTACCTTGATACGATGGCCGAAGGCACGCTTTAACTCTTGTAGTGCTAAAGCATAGTTGCGACCTGAAGATCCTAGCCCTTGCACAAGGTGTTTTGCATCCCCTTCCAAACGAGACTGAAGTAAGTCCATTCGCCGAACATCAAATATTCCGGGTCGAGTATGTACTTGCGCATGAAACCGCTCGATGAAACAAGGCCATTCAATAGCTTTACCACTAAACTTCGGTAAGTCAATCTTAGGCAGATCGCGCTCGCTCTCTAGCTTGATAAGAGCATGAGTTAGGTGATCTTTATCTGAAGAATTCACCTCGGATATCGTTTCTTGTCCAAGAATGAGGTGATCTATCCATGCGTCAATCAGTTCGTATGGTTGACGGTTTTGCACAGTGACAGGAGGTCGAGATACCTCGAAACTGGGAACATGTATGTTGAGTTGTGTTGGTTGTGATCTGAGTGTTTCTTTCATACTTGGGGTAAGTGCTTCTGAATGTGGGTTTTGTTGATCCACGTTACTACACTTGACAGCACCATCAGATGCTTCCAACCACTTCTGAATATATTCCTGTTTTCCATGTTCCTGAAAATGAGTTTTCCTATCAGCCACATTACTACCTATTACAAGCATGTCTTCACGCATTTTCACCTCCAAATCTGCCATATCCTTTCTGTGTGTTGCTTCCTGCTTGACTTGTGTGGCCTGCATTTCAGCAATTTGCTTAGACTGATTTACATGAAGTTCAGTCATTTTTGCAGCAAGTTTTGCTGCTTCCTCAGCAAAAAATGCTTTCAGTTTTGCTTGTTCAGCTTTAAACACCATATTTGTATTGCTGCTCTTCCCTTGGCTGTAATTGTCATTTTCACTTTCAATTGATCTAGTGTCACCTTGTGAGCTTATCACAGACAGTGACTTAACAGATTTGCTCACTAAAATGTCTCCAATTTCTTCCAGTGCTTTATTTGCAATTTCCTGCCTTTCCTTAAACCAATCCATTGCCTGCTGACTTTCTGTTTCACCATGCAACACTGACAAATACTGCCTATGGGCATCATACAGAGCTTTTACTGCCGCTTCAATTTTGTTGCATGTCACTGATAATGTTCGTTTCGACCTCTTTTCCGTAATTTGAGACCTTGCCGTATTAATAATTGCCGTCAAACGAGCAGCATAACCACTCCTAGCATACTTCAAGTCTTGTTTTTCTGTGTTAAACTCGTATCTATCGGGATGAATTCCCTTTGTCGATCTACTACACCGTCTTGGCAAACCAGGCTCAGAACGAGTGCTTCGCAAGTGTTTAGAATCAAATTCAGCATTAAGTGACAGTTTTGGTGGCCCACCTTTGGTAGATTCCATCTTTAAAGGATAACTGAAAGTTCCAACACTTCTGTGCTAAATGAGAGGAATGAACTGTGTTTGAATGTTGCAAGGGGTTCAGTTTTCGCGCACATGAAGAAAAACCTTTTGTTCGTGAGAGAACAAAGACGTATTAGTGTCTTGAGATAATTCAATGCGCTGCAATCGACGAGAAATACACAAATGGGCTTTGAGATTGAGTTGTGATTGTGTTTTACCCATCATTACTTTGTTTTTCTTCGTGACTGGCATGCGAAATCAACGGCGACATGCAATCCTCTCCATAATAACCAACACAAGGGAGCTAACTAAAAGTTAATTATAACGGACTACCGCACAAAAGAAATAATCAAATTAATGCTGGTCATTAACAATATCTGATTTCTGTATCTCGAAAACGATCTAAAATACAAATTCGGCAAGTAAAAAGTATATAAATTTATGGATATGTCACACATGTGTTCCTGGAATCATCATTATTTGATAGTGATTCATGAACACATTCTCATAAGTCGGAATCGTACAGTCGACACTGCTTTTGGCAGAGACTTCTTATGAATATGGAAAGGCTTTTGTCGCTTTTATTTCTAAGCACCGAGCCTTCTTCACCATTGTCTTCAGCAACCCATGCTTGCCATAAAAGGCGACTATGCTTGTCGAAAGAGGCGACTAACGAGATCGCGTGGTCAGGCTCGCTGACTTGGTTGATGCATGACCCTATGCGTGGATCGAGGCTCACTGGTTTGTATGGTCCAGACTCGATTATTTACAAACTGCTGTCATATTGCTGGAATATTGATGAGTGCGGCGTAAAACAACAAACAAACAAAGCAGTCTCGTGAATGTATTTAATCTGTCGTCTATAAGTGGCCAAATACAGAAACAGTCATCCAGAAGTTGCATACGTGGGTGCCATTTTCGTACCCATTGTAGTCCCTTAAATCTCGACCCGTGAAGATCCGGGGTAGAATAGGTCTTCAGCAACCCATGCTTGTCGTAAAAGGCGACTACGCTTGTCGTAAGATATCGGGTAGTCAGGCTCGCTGACGTGGTTGAACCATGTCATCGATCCCAATTGCTTGGATCTATGCTCATGATATCAGTCACTGGATTGTCTGGTCCAGACTCGAATATTTACAGACAGCCGTCATATAGCTTGAATATTGCTGAGTGCGGCGTAAAACAAAACCAACTAACCAATCTTCGGGGCCCGGTGAGCTGAAAGATGGGATGCTTTTGTCGTTGTTGATGCCAAGAGGTTTTTCCGAAGTCTAGATATAGGAACCATTCTAGAACACAGACATCAGGTTTATATGTCAAAAGTCTTTATTAATGAGTTGTTCGGAATACAATTACTGGAAGACATTGTTCAGTTGCATCGCTGAATGTTTCGATTAGCAACTACGAGAAACCATTCCACCAGCTCCTTTCCGAGAATATTGACCAGGTCAGAATCTGCCTGGAGGGCAGATAGTGCCTCGGGTAGAGTGGTTGGTAGAGTATTGGCTGATTTGGAGTTAGCAGCTGGCTCCTCTGTGTCTGGACATTGAGCAGGACAATCCAGGTTATTGAGTACTCCGTCTAAACCTGCAGCTATAGTCGCTGCAAGAGTCAGATACGGATTGCTTCTCCCACTTGGAATGCGGTTCTCAAAGTAGACGCCTTGTTTATCAGTATCTGCTTTAACTCGAAAAGACGAAAGACGATTTTCCAAAGCCCAGTTTATTGTTCTTGGTCTCCTTGGGCGGTGCAATCGATCATAACAATTTACTGTAGGACACCAGAAAGCTGAGAGAGCTCTAGAGTGTTTTAGCAGTCCACCAAGCCAACATCTTCCAAAATCAGATATACCATCGGGTTTGCTGGAATCACTGAAAATATTTTCACCACTTTCAATCGATAACACCGAATGATTGTAATGCATTCCGACTTCACCTGTTTTTTGCTTGGACAAAAAACTGACTTTATAATCTGTGTGCTTAGTTGCTACTTCAAGAGCTCCACTTCGAAAGGTAAAAGCCCAGTCAGCAGCTGTGATGCCTTTGGATGCCTTTAAAACTCCCTCGAAGAGTCCAGCATCCCACTCTGTATGAAAGTTTTCAACGTCAACACCTGCATTATGCATGCCATTGTCTAAGGCGTAAAGAAATGCACTGTGTTTTGTGTGGTCCAAGTGATGCATTCGCCATCTTCCCGACGCAGGTAGGTCTTTATAATACAACATGTATTCCATCTCGAATCCTGACAAAATCGTATACCCATTGTTGGCCAATCGTTGGAGTTGTTGTTTAGCAGCATATCTTGGAAAACAGTTAACAGGAGTCTTGTCTTTCAACCAATACGCGTCACATATGACCTCAGCGACCTTGAACTGTTCCCCACCATCCCAGGAAATAGCTTTCATTGTGCTGAGATCGGGAATGATTACAAAGCCAAAATCCCTTTGCAGTGACGCAGGAACGCCTGAAAATATTTCAAGACAATAATGTCATGTCTATGATAAGTTATATTTCAATGAGGCCATATTAGGATTCACTTGAGACGAATCACTGGTTATGTTCCAGTGTTTAACGCCACAGAATATTTCAGCTGTACACCAGGGTCCTCTGAATAATTGTCTGGACCAGACAATCAGTTATGATCAAACTTAAAACTTGTCACAAAAAAGTGTAATCTTGAAAAAGATGTTTGTTTAGCTTTACTGTGGAACGCACAGAGGTACCACTTACAAGAAGACCTTCAGCTGAAGCACTAACAATATGCTGTAAGTAACAAGGACTTACACATGCAAAAGATGGGAAAAAATAATTCATTGCATCACTTCACACTAGAATGTCAATTCAGATAAGGCGCATTTAATTCTTGTTAGATAAATTTTGATAATATGTATTGTAAAAAGTGTGTGATTTTAATTTGGTAAAATGATTATATAACTGTGATTGTTAGTGGCTGTACCTTCAAATGGGGTTGAAGTAACGTCAAGTAATTGTCCCCCTGAGAGGGTACGTAAGTCCCACTTAATTCAAAGTATATTTCATTTTCCTGGATTTTAATCGTAGAATACTTGTTGTTTAGTAATGCTTTAGCTTACACTTACTTACAATCACCAGTGGCCAGAGGGATGGTGTAAATCCTGCTGGGGTACCATGCAGGAAGCAGATGTACAGTAAGTCCCCACGGCCCCTAGTATGGTGACCTAGCTTTGGTTGCTGGTGATCTCTAGCCCATTTTTATAATGTATTGTTTAGAATAGTCACTTTTTTTATGGAAACATGCTAGTTTTAAATCTATATCTGTGAAAGTCCAGAGATTTTACTGTCCTTTGTCGAAATACTGAAATACTGTCGATGTGACTATAAATTTTAACTCACTCACTCACTATACCCAACTAATAAACAACAATAACAAAGTTTTATAAACCATGACAAGATTTTTTGTTTATTTGTTATTTAACGCCTCAACCAGCCATATTCTACCTATTTAATTGAATCTGGACCAGGCATTCAGTGACTAATATTAAGAGCATCGATCCACAATTGGGATATGACTGACCAGACCAACGAACTTAACCTCACGATTCATTTAATCACCTCTTAAAACCAGCATAGGTTGCCGGGGACCTACATTCTTACCCGGAATCACAAGACAGGTAGGCTTCTAAGATCATAACACATACCTACTCCTACAGTGACCCCAGTTCTACAGACGTGTTCGGCATGGCGGCGATGAAGAATTCTTCCTCTGGACTTTCCGGATACGTCACAGACAGTCAGTCGTAAATAGTCGTAGGGTACCGACATCTGAGACATGGTCCTGCAATAAACCATTCATTGCAATAAACAATTAACAATCATTTACACTGTTCGATACATCGCCATTTGTTACGTTATATTTGAATCCTGGGTTTTGAACGCACGTCCATGGGCTCGACAAAGTAACTTATGCTCATTTATCAGTGTCTTTGGAGCAGCGTCTGCGGCAGATGGCATCATTTATTAACAACTGGCTCCTTGGATAGTTGATAGATCGTCTTGCTGGAGAGAGGGATGTCGGGGGTGTGATCAGCTGTCCGTGTTTCAGTTTGAGTCTGATACTCAAGAATCGGATATAGAATAGGGGGAGTAAATTGAGCCTGATACTCAAGAATCGGAAGTAGAATGGGGGTAGTAGTTAAAGCCTGATACTGAAGAATCGGATATAGAATAAAGGGAGTAGTTAGAGCCTGATACTCAAGAATCGGATATAGAATATGGGGAGTAAATTGAGCCAGTTACTCAAGAATCGGATATCGAACAGGGGAAGTAGTTTGAGGCTGATACTCAAGATTCGGATATAGAATATGTAGAGTAGTTTGAGCCTGATACTCAAGAATCGGATATAGAATATGGGGAGCAGTTTGAGGCAGATACTCAAGAATCGGATATAGAACAGGGGGAGTAGTTAGAGCCAGATACTCAAGAGTCGGATATAGAACAGGGGGAGTAGTTTTAGCCTGATACTCAAGAATCCGATATAGAATAGGGGAAATAGTTAGAGCCTGATACTCAAAAGTCGGATATAGAATATAGGGAGTAGTTAGAGCCTGATACTCAAGAATCGGATATAGAATATGGGGAGTTAATTGAGCCAGATACTCAAGAATCGGATATAGAACAGGGGAAGTAGTTTGAGGCTGATACTCAAGATTCGGATATAGAATATGTAGAGTAGTTTGAGCTTGATACGCAAGAATCTGATATGGAAAAGGGGGAGTAGTTTGAGCCTGATACTCAAGAATCGGATATAGAATATGGGGAGTAGTTTGAGCCAGATACTCAAGAATCCGATATAGAATAGGGGAAGTAGTTTGAGCCTGATACTCAAAAGTCGGATATAGAATAAAGGGAGTAGTTAGAGCCTGATACTCAAGAATCGGATATAGAATATGGGGAGCAAATTGAGCCAGTTACTCAAGAATCGGATATCGAACAGGGGAAGTAGTTTGAGCCTGATACTCAAGAATCGGATATAGAATATGGGGAGCAGTTTGAGGCAGATACTCAAGAATCGGATATAGAACAGGGGGAGTAGTTAGAGCCAGATACTCAAGAGTCGGATATAGAACAGGGGGAGTAGTTTTAGCCTGATACTCAAGAATCGGATAAAGAATAGGGGAAGTAGTTAGAGACTGATACTCAAGAGTCGGATATTGAATATGGGGAGTAGTTAGAGCCTGATACTCAAGAGTCGGATATTGAATATGGGGAGTAGTTTGAGCCTGATACTCAAGATTCGGATATAGAATATGGGGAGTAGTTTGAGCCTGATACTCAAGAGTCGGATATAGAATATGGGGTGTAGTTTGAGCCAGATACTCAAGAATACTCGGATATAGAACAGGGGAAGTAGTTTGAGAGAGATACTCAAGAGTCGGATGTAGAATATTGGGAGTAGATTGAGCTTGATATTAAAAAATCGGATGTAGAACAGGACGAGTAGTTTGAGCCTGATTTTAAAGAATTTGATATAGAATAGGGAGGGTAGTTATTGAAGAACGGGATATAGGTTGGTTGGTTTGCTTGTCGTACGCGTAAGAGGCGACTTACGGGATCGGGTGGTCAAGCTCGCTGTCATCGATCCCAATTGCGTGGATCGATTCGCATGTCAATCACTGGATTGTCTGGTCCAGACTCGATTATTTAGTCCCCCGTCATATAGCTGGAATATTGCTGAGTGCGGCGTTAAACAACAACAACAACAACAACAACAACAACAAAAATATGATGGCGGTCTAAGTTATCGAGTCTTGACCAGACAATCCAGTGATTGATTTTATGAGCACCGAGCCATGAAATTGGGATCCAATGACATGCATAAACTGAGTCGGCGAGTCTGACCACTTGATCCCGTTGGTCGCCTCTTACGACAAGTATGGGTTATGAAGACTATTCTAACCCACATCTTCACGTATCAGATTATAGTAAATAACCTACCTTCTTAGTTGATGCAGAAAGCCGGTGTGCAAAGGATCACATGTGTCATTCAGTTGGTGAATCAAGGAATGAAAACGGCTGGTCCTTTTATATACGTGGATTAGAACACGTGACCAAAAACAATTATAGCTGATTATTGTAAACATATTATGATAAGAAAAGGAAAATTATGACAAATATTATGATGCACGCATTGATGACGATAATCAAAACTATTCATTCATGCTTCAAAAGCAAGTTGCACATATGTTACAACTTACCCACCTGTTACCTACCCAATGAACTGCAAATTTGTCATCTTCGTGATAAACATTTGAGATATTCGGGTGTTATGGAGTATTCACAATGACATTGAAGAATGCTTAATTCTGATGTAGTCACAATAAGACCAAATTCAGGTATGAAATTATATTCGATTCCTCAGAATTAACACTTTTTCACACAATAACTTTGCGTACGAAAACAACACTATCCTATTGGTTGGTTGGTTGGTTTGTTGTTTAACGTCGCACTCAGCAATATTCCAGCTATATGACGGCAGTCTGTAAATTCGTTGGGGCGGAGGATAATAAAAATAATAATACTCATACCCCCCGCCAATATGACATGTCCGGTTGTGTGCAATGCATTAGCTCCCGTGAACTATGGTGTTGATTTGCCTTCTGCAGTTTATGATAGAATACGTAACTGTATTTGTAATGAGTTGTGTTATTACTTAAACCACTTTTGGAGAATCCACATGGTATTTATTCCACTTGTCTCAAATACTTTCTGTGAATATAAAGAAAGTCCTTCCTTGATTATGCCTAATCTTTGAGACAGGGATTTGATGGTGCATTTGCTAGACCAAGTAATTTATCTCTCTTTGTACGGATATGTTTTAGCTTTGGAATCCAGTAAAAAGGAGGAATGGACATGTCTTCAGGTTTTAGAGTAAAGTCAAAAGTTGATTGATGGTTTTGGCAGATTTCATCCTCAGTTTACATACTGGCCTCATATGTGGCATTATTTCATATAACCAATTGAACGACATTGTTTGAATAAACAACATTTACTCACAACATTCATTCACCCAGTTCAAACTATAATAAAAAAATTTAGGCTGTCTTTATATTGTTGCAACAACAAAATGTGAATGTTTCATTTCATGACCGTATTTTTCATAACGTTCAGTCTTTAAAAGCTAGGGACACCCTTGACTAGATAATAATTGATATTGTTATGATGGGATGCAACACAACTACGTTACATATTAACTATCAATAATTGTTCAGTAACACATGTTCATTATTAGTAGTCAACTGAAAATATCAATAATGATTTTTGCTTGTCGTTGATAACATGTAATAGACATTTTGGTCTTTCAAAACACTAATTTATCATGCATGCTGAACTAAGTTTGACAATATTATCTCTTTTAATGTTTTGATAACAAAAACAACATATGCTTAATAGCCGCGAGTGCGAGAATAGGTTACTATTGTTACAACAGACAATCTATATTGTTTGTTTGTTTGTTGTGTAACGTCGCACTCAGCAATATTCCAGCTATATGACGGCGGGGTATTCGCAGGACGACGACCCCTCGAATTTTTCCATTCGCAGGACGACGACCCGCCGGTACACCTTTGATGTGTGGTGTTGTTTTAGGAGGGGATTAACTCCTTGGGTAGTGACAAAAACTGAAATATGTACACGAAAACTCAAATGTGTTCAATGAATTGGTGAATTCTGATTTTGATAATCTAGTGAGTACCATTTACTCAGCTGATTGACTCAACAGTTACTCTCTTATAAATCTCCGAAACATGGTAGTCTGTCGCCATTAGAGGCTTAAAACGTCATAAAAAAACACCTAACATTAATAATTCAACAAACCCCGCTGAAAAGGCAAATAACCTCGCCAACAACTTTTCGGCCGTAAGCAGTAACAACAACTTTAGCCAAAAATTTCAAGATAAACTTAAAACAGAAAACAAATCCACCAAAGAACCAAATAATGACAACCTAGAAAAAAAACACCCTTACACAATGGAGGAGCTACTCTACGTCATCCAAAACAGGAAAAAGGGCACAGCCCCAGGATTGGACCTAACTTCCTACCAAATAATTAAAAAACTCCCCCCTAAACTACTCCAAGCACTACTTAAATTATACAATCTCATCTATCAAAATGGACAAGTACCTACTCCCTGGAAACAGGCCTTAGTCATACCAATCCCTAAACCTAATAAACCAGCTAATCAGGCTTACTCCTATAAACCAATTTCCTTAACTTCAAACTTATGTAAAGTAATGGAAGCTATGGCTAAAAACAGACTACAACATTACCTAACTCAAAATAACATCATAAACCCAGATCAAACCTTAGATAACCTCGCCCGTTTAGAGCAGAACATTAAAACAGGACAACTCAGCAAACAATATACTACAGGCATCTTCTTAGACTTCTCCAAAGCTTTCGACATGGTATGGCACGATGGGCTAATACAAAAACTTAAAAAAATAGGACTCAAAGGTCAGATAATAAACTACATCCAAGACTTCCTAAACAATCGTAAAATAACTGTGGGTATAGACCAAACTCTATCGGACCAATGTCCCCTAGAAAATGGCACTCCACAGGGCAGTATCCTCAGCCCCACACTCTTCAATATAATGATAAACGATCTATTCGAGGGCCTATCCCCTAAAGTAAACACATCAAAATTCGCGGATGATGGAGCCATGTGGATCCGCACTAAAAGCATGAAAATGGTCCAAAATTTACTCAAAAAATCTCTAAACAAAATACAGCAATGTGCTGACAAATGGGGCTTCTCCCTTAACTCGGAAAAAAACTACAGGAATAGTATTTAAACACAAAAACATGAAACCCGCCTCCCCAAAACTCCAGCTAAACAACAAACCAATCCAATTCCTAAAACAAACCAAATTCTTAGGACTAATTTTCGATGAACATCTCTCCTGGGACGCTCACATAAATAATCTAATAACTAAATGTAGCAAAGATCTAAATACGCTAAGATGCCTCACTGGCTCAAACTGGGGGCCTCCAAAGACACCATCCTCTCACTCTATGTATCACTAATTAGATCTATAATAGACTACGGATGTGCCTTTACGACACCCTAAACCAATCCCTAAGCAAAAAACTGGACTCAATCCAATATCAGGCTCTAAAACTAATAACACGCACTCAACATGGCACCTCCTAAACTGCACTCCAGGCCTTAACAGGAGAAATGCCACTTAGTCTACGTAGGGAACAATTAACCCTAAATTTCTGGTCCGCGTCTCAATCCAACCCCCTAATTCAAAGCCTAATAAACAAAAATATAAGCCCAAAGAACCAAGCCCTAGCTCGAAAACACCCTCTACTAACTCCAATATCCCAAAGAATAACCAATTACTTAAATGAACACCAAATAAACAATCTTAAACAAAACCGTAAAAAATCAAATATCTTCACCCCAAAACTTAAAACACCCAAAATAGACATAACACTAGCTAGCACAATAAATAAACAAACCGACCCAAACATAGCCAAAACCACCACCAAACAATCAAATTTCAAAAACAAACCAAATTCTTAGGACTTATTTTCGATGAACATCTCACCTGGGATGCTCACATCCCAAACCTAACAACTAAATGCAGTAAAGACCTAAACACCCTAAGATGCCTAACTAGCTCTAACTGGGGAGCCTCCAAAGAAACCCTCCTCTCTCTCTACATATCACTAATTAGATCAAAACTACGGCTGCGCCATATACAACACCCTAAACAACTCTCTACCTAAAAAACTTGACTCAATACAATATCAGGCTCTCAAACTAATTACACGCACCCAACATGGCACCTCCTACACCTCACTTCAGGCCTTAACAGGAGAAATGCCACTAAGTCTACGCAGGGAACAGCTAAGCTTAAATTTCTGGGCCGCGTCCCAATCAAACCCTCTCATCCAAAACTTAATAAACCAAAACATCAGCCCCAAAAACCAAGCTCTAGCTCGTAAACACCCCTTACTTACCCCAATATCCCAAAGAATAACAAACTACCTAAATGAACACCAAATTAAAAATCTTAAACAAAACTGCAAACAATCAAATATATTCACCCCTAAACTTAAAATACCCCAAATAGACACAACACTAGCTAGCCAAATAAATAAACAAACCGACCCAAACATAGCTAAAACTACCACACTAGCATACATACACGAAAATTGGCCAAATTGGTGTCACATTTACACGGACGGATCCTCAGATCCGACCTCCAAACACACAGGTTTCGGAGTCCATACCACACAACCAACTAAAACCACACAATCCTTCCGACTCCCAAACAACCAATCAATATTCACGACAGAACTAATGGGCATGGCCTCAGCCCTCCATAATCAAGAATCCAAAAACCATAAAAAAATCCTAATACTTACCGACTCCCTAAGTGGACTGCAAGCCCTCCAAAACCAAAATACCAAAAAAACCGACCTAAATTAATAAATCAAATACTTAAAAGCTCCAGCGACCTAACTAAGGCAGGCAAACAAATAACCTTCTTGTGGATACCCGCCCTCGTGGGAATATACGGTAATGAAAACGCTGATAAAGCAGCTAAACTATCCCTCAAAATCCCAGAAATAAGATTAAACTTACCCATCTCAAAATCAGAAATTAAAAGTGTAAACAAGCAAAAAATCACCAAAAAATGGCATAACCTATATCTAAACTCATATAGCCACATCAAAAAAGTGCTCAGCAAACCACTAACCAAACCAAAAATTCTCCATCCATAAAAAAAAAAATCGACAGAGTAATCACTAAACTTCAAACAGGACACACCAACCTAAATAACCACCTAAAAAAACCAAAAAAACACACTACAGGTAACTGCAGCTGCCCACACTGCAAACAACCAGAAACCCCAGAACACGCACTCATCCACACTACCTAACACATCGAACCGCATTACAAACCACCCTCAATCTAAACAAGGCTCTCACTCTAGAAGCAATACTAAACCCACAA